CTGTACTCAATACTCCTGTACTTGCCTGTGTGTGCAAGGACATAGGTTACTTATTCACCACATATCCTGTATTAAAAATAGTGCAGCCAAAAATTGTTTTTGCTGAAGAAAGGAATAAAACCTAAAAACACCATCGAAAAATTAATTGCTCTGACGTGGGTTTGCAAAGTCGTCAGAAGAAAAAAAAATTGCCAAAATTACGAAGCAGGAACACTGTCAAAAATACGATATATATATTTAAAATACATACAATTGTAAAACATATATGTTTAATAAGAATATATATACACTTTTCAAAACAATATATGTATAGTAAATACATACAATTGTAAAACATATATGCTTAAGAAGAAAATATATATACACTTTTCAAAACAATATATATATCTTAAATACATATAATTCCAAAACATATATTGTTCACAAAAAGTGGTGTTTCCAAAACCCCCATCATATGAAAACCATGTTGTTCACAAAAAGTGGTGTTTCCAAAACCCCTATCATATGAAAACAGGAAGTGGTGTTTCCAAAACCCCTATCATTTCTAAACCTATATATGTTTTCAGTGCACGCGGTAACACTGTCAAATCTCTCACCAGAGTTTCTAGCATGGGCGACCACACTACTGTTGTGGGGGTGGGAGAGAAAAAAACAGATTTTTTTCGCCTAGGTTTCTTCCCCTCTTGTCCAGTGATTCTTAAAGCTACGCGTAATTAATTTTCATTCCAAAAAGCCTTTTCATTATAATTGTATTTTGGTCAGATCTTTGCATATAAGTCACACTAAAAATAGGGGGCGCCAAGGATTGTTACAGAGTAGATTCTTCTGATCAGAACTCTTCCTTTCGCAAATCTCTGCCGTCCGCGGCTTTAGTGGCCCCTCGGGGGTCGGCTGGATGTAGTCTCCACCAGACTTCTTTTGCGGGGTGAATAAATCGTAGAAATCGGCCTAAAAAGTATTAATTGGCCAGAGACTGTAGCCGGCCAGAGAAGCTCCATTTCCCTGTCGAGCCTTTTTAGGCCAATTTCTACGATTTATTCACCCCGCAAAAGAAGTCTGGTGGAGACTACACAAACTCTGCGGGAAGGGGCCACTAAAGCCGCGGACGGCAGAGTTTGCGTTACACAGACTATGGCTACTTATTAGCGTAATTAGCAACAATGTGTTAACTTTTGTACACAAAAAGATGAAATTAAAGACCTTTGTGGCAAACTGTTTGATCCTAAGATCCTGAAAATTTTAAGATTGTGGCATGGAAAGTTTAAGAATTACAATAAAATGTATGTCAAATATTGTTGATTTACGGTCTCTTTTGGTGCCATGACTAGCTTAGAGTCCGTGTCACCGTGTGGCTTTTTTCTTCATGTTTGTAAGAAAAGAATACCCCAGTAACAAAAGTTCTAAATTTTTTAACAATTTGAAAATTAAAATTTGAATATTATTAGATATTTCTGAAACATTTTGAAAGTGGCTGTACAAAGATCTCTTTATTTAGAATAGATTTGAGCTATCCATGTGTTTCTTTCACTATTTGAAATATTTCAAACAAATAACCAGATGGTAGATGTGGGTAATTGCCCCCATAAAAGTAGGTGCTAATCCCACTCTTCTGTCTTCTTCTGTATATTTTTAGATTTCGCTGGACACTGGTGGCTCTTTTGTTGTAAGGCATGAATGCCTGACACCCAGGCAGACTAGCCTGTACTTCACAGGGATGTGTGAATTACTTCCTTCCCAGCCCACTGACCTATTTACAAAATGTTAGAAATAATGGTAAAAAATGGTAAATATTTTTTAGAAACAATTGGAAATGTCATATTCCACATCAGGAATATTTCAACCATTTTACAAAACCAGGGAATTATTTAGAATCTTGAAAAGATATTCAAAATGTTTCCATATTATGAAATTTCTCAGACCATTCTCTCTTTTACCTCCATGCTCAGACAAACAATAACAAAGATTTCAAAAGATTTCTAAATTATGACAATAACAACCCACACGATGACGCAGAATTGACTCTATTCCCGTAGAACCAATTGCAATACTTGAGCATCTTCTGATGAAACCGTCAAAAGTGTAAACTTTGAAAAATTCTAGATAATCTCATCTTTTATGCGAAAGGAAGAGTTCTGATCGGAAGAATCTACTCTGTAACAATCCTTGGCGCCCCCTATTTTTAGTGTGACTTATATGCAAAGATCTGACCAAAATACAATTATAATGAAAAGGCTTTTTGGAATGAAAATTAATTACGCGTAGCTTTAAGAATCACTGGACAAGAGGGGAAGAAACCTAGGCGAAAAAAATCTGTTTTTTTCTCTCCCACCCCCACAACAGTAGTGTGGTCGCCCATGCTAGAAACTCTGGTGAGAGATTTGACAGTGTTACCGCGTGCACTGAAAACATATATAGGTTTAGAAATGATAGGGGTTTTGGAAACACCACTTCCTGTTTCATATGATAGGGGTTTTGAAACACCACTTTTTGTGAACAACATGTTTTCATATGATAGGGGTTTTGGAAACACCACTTTTTGTGAACAACATATGTTTTCATATGATAGGGGTTTTGGGAACACCACTTTTTGTGAACAATATATGTTTTGGAATTATATGTATTTAAGATATATATATTGTTTTGAAAAGTGTATATATATTTTCTTCTTAAGCATATATGTTTTACAATTGTATGTATTTACTATACATATATTGTTTTGAAAAGTGTATATATATTCTTATTAAACATATATGTTTTACAATTGTATGTATTTTAAATATATATATCGTATTTTTGACAGTGTTCCTGCTTCGTAGTTTTCCCAATCCAACTTCAGCCATTGCAAGATGACATGGAGTTAGAACTCCTTGCTATGAAGTAATACTCAAAGAATCTTATGTCACTTCGGTTTGTCTATGTTGCAGATCTAGAAGATGGCCGAAGCAATGTTGGAGGGCGAGCAATGTACAGTTGGGAAAATCATCGACAGCTTGGTCCGTAATAAGCGACAAGAATGTTTGGAATCGGTAGACGGTGACGAAAACCTTTTCCGCGAAAGGGTAAAAAATGCCCTGGCCGCACTGTATAATGCTCATAAATTCGGCGAATTACAAAAAGGAATACAAGATATAAAGTATGAAAAATCATGTTTTCAGTTCGGCTATGTATACAAGCATTCGATGTTTTCCGCACGAAGTCTTTCCAAGATATTGGAACAATGCACGACGCATTGTTCCAATGTCTTGGAAAACCTGAGAATGCAAACCAGCATGACCGTTGCGTGCCTGGGTGGAGGGCCTGGGTCAGATGTCCTGGGTGTGCTGGACTACTTCATGAAGTACATGGCTGACTTCAAGGGACAACTGGACATACAGCTGTATGACAGGAAGGATAAATGGGGCCCAACTTGGGTAAGTACATTACTTCTTTGTACATGTATTGCAGAAAATAAGTTTCCTTTGTATTGTATCAAATTGTGCTTGAAGTTAGCTTCACACAACAGTCCGTCATAACTGCCCTGCAAACAATGGTTATAATATGTAGATTCAGCTTGTAAAGCATGTCCGTGTAATGACTTTCTGTTCATCAACAATTAATAAATCACAAGTACTATATATTAGGTTTCTTGCAAATATATGTAGTGAAATATGCAAGAGTCTCAGAATTTCTTTGAAAGGTTACTTAAGGCCACACCAATTTAATTAACTGGTTCACGGATTCACCTGCTTCATTTTCGTCTGATTTGCAAAAAAGTCAGATTCAGTTTCTCGAAAATGCTCATATTTTGGCCCAGTTGAAGAAAGCTCCTTGTCCTATGTTAACAGCTTTTCCATCTATCAATGCATTGATTTGCTAAAAAGTTTAAAATTCATTGTTTGAATTATATACCAGCCTGATATCTATGTTTACTAATGGCTCCAATTGTAGCTTTAGGGGCTATCATTTCAATTTTAATTTTTCTTACCCTGTCACTTCATATTTTTTCTGAAAAAAAAAGAAGAAACAACGGATCAAATTGGTGTGACCTAAGTCAAAGATGAAATTTCTATGATTGGTAATACATCACGAGTTGATGACCTCTGTTACCACAGGAGAGTCTGAAGACTGCTATGGACGCAGAGCTGCATGACCCCAGGGTCACAGTGAGCTTCTATGACTTTGACGTCACTACGGCTGGCAAGAGCAAACCTGACCTTCAGAAAGCTGACGTCATCACCATGCACTACTTCATGGAGGAGGTGTACTCCGAGAGGGAAAGAGCAGAGGGTGGGCTCACACTTTTCGATTATTATTATGGCTACATATTGTTTTTCCTCGTGTTTCTGCTGGGGATAGGAGTTCCATGGCCAAATAAGGCCAAATATGGGCATGCAGACAGGAGCAGGTGTGGCCCTTTTAGCAGATGTGGTTGCTGATTGGCTGTTCACTTAATGACTTTAATCTGCTAAAAGAACACATACTCATGGTACCACATACATGTACTTATAATACATGTAGGAACAATTAACTTATATAACTTGTGGTATAATTACATTACTGAATACAGGATTCTATCAACATCTCTGTCATGTTTTCATCGTTAGCAAAATTAATCTGCACTGAATACTGATGTTTGTAGAAGTTATAAAAAGTGGTTTCCAAGTCTCACTTTTATCACAGAAGGAGACAGTGGTCTGTTACACCTAAGGGCTGTTATACCGGATATACAGATACAGAATAGTTGTCAGTAGTTGAAGGTCAAAAAAGGTTATCTTAATTAGTCTTTCATTAAAACCACATGTGAGCGGTGGTTGTAACAAACCCCTATTATCAGTTACTAACCATACTATAGTTTATGGGTAATTCTGAGTACTAGACGTACATGTATCTACTCTGTGTCGTACCCAGATATTTGCATGTTTAGATAACTAGTACAGGTATCTAGTAAAGGTAGCACCATAAAACGACAATAAAGTACATTGCCATTTCCTCTTTTCACGACATTGTCTGCAGTGAAGGAGTGTTTTGACCACATAATCCAGACAGCCAAACCAGGTGCCTTGTTCCTGTACTCGGGGATGTACATGTACCAGGTTATAAACTGGGTACATCAACTCCTGAAGGACAACTGTGAGCTTCTGACACCAGACATGGAACTACCTGGACAACCTCAAAAGATTTACAAAGATACCAGTACCGGTGACTGGAAATGGGTTTCCTATGCTGAGGTACATACTGGCATTTTGCTTAAGTTTCTAGCAACAGACTTTTATTACACTGTCATCATTGTTTGAAGACCTGCATATTCATACACTATATTGTATTCTATGTCCAATCTAGTTGCCTACGTACATGTACAAGTACATGTTTATACCGCCTGGAGGTATAAACATGAGGAATCTAAAAAAATGTGTTCCCTTTTGTTTAAATGATCTGTTCAACTCAGAACAGTAATAATATGGTACAAATGTATGGTCTAGCCAGAAAATATAAATTACATGTACCAGAAATTATCATGCCTGCTGAATGATGCAACCATTTTTGACATCCTTTAGGTTGACTTACATCAGGAAGGAGACTTACAGCTTTTCAACGACATAAGAGACGACCTCCAAACCGGGGGCTACCCTACAGAGGAGGTTTCTCAGAGATTTAAGGGTAACGTTGTTTACCGTCTATACAGGAAGAAGTAGACAAGAAGTTGAAGAACAGTAAGTGTTCGGAGGAGCTGCGTTCTCAAACAGGGCATTTCTGTGAGGTGATAATGTCATCTTCTATCAGAAACCCAATGAGATTAGCCTTTTGATGGTATTATTCTTCCAATCATGATGTATGGCTGTGAAATATGGGGCTTCCACCCTGGTAAACAACTAGAGATAGTGCACAATAAATTTTGTAAATCTTAAATTGGGGTGGAGAAAGAGGGGAACTGGGGAGACACTCACTTAACATACTTAGGCAAAATAGAATTGTTAAATTTTGGTTGAAAATGTTTAAGTAAGTATGGGGGAAAACAGACTTACCAAAAAATGCTACAAACTTCTGTATGAGCTGGACCAAGTAGATAGGAAATCCTGGGTAAGCCAAGTAAAACAGCTGTTATTCACTCATGGGCTACAGGAAGCCTGGTACAATCAAGGAGTGGGAAATGGGGATATCTTTATGGAAGTATTTAAAAAACGAACAAGAGAGGAAATTAATTTTTGGAATAATGTAATATCCAGTACACATAGGCTAGAAATGTTCTGCTCAATTAAAGATAGATTTGGTACGGAAAAGCACTTGAAGATTATAAATGTGTTCAGCCATGTGTAGTTGGAAAGATACAATGTGAGATTTGAATCAGTGGAGAAGTTACTCCTTTTGTTATTTTTTGGTGTATTTACAGAATGCAGAAACAGACAATGTTAAGTCCAGTATCAAAAGTCTATACATACTATAGCTATACATGTCACATACTAGTTATCACTGATTATATACAATGTAATGGCTCAAATCTCATGCACACAAGTTTGACACTAACATCTAAAAAATTAGCAATCATTAAAAATAAATCGTGGGACAATTTTATTGCGTATACAACACTATTGGCTAGTATACATGTAGCAAATATCTAATTCAAAACATGTACTAAGATTCTCATGTTTACAATGTACATGTATCTTGAAGTTCCCAATCACAAATTATAAATTGTACTCATGATAACGATACCATCAGATGCAATTTGATGCTACCATGGATAATTTACTCTCTGCTATCCCTGATAATACTTAATACAGATAAGGATATATTGACACAGGTTCTTATGAATCGAGAAGTTTCATGACAGCCTCCCTCTCCTTGAGTGCCTTGACTGCTGCGTCCCTTTCTTTTTTGGTGGGGGTTCGTTTCTTCTGCCGTGCTGCCATGATCTTCCTAAAACAGTCCATCACCTGTGGTGTACGACAAACATAACTTAATGTTTCAAGCGTCGGTCACAACCCGCCGTGCATACTTTCTGTCCGTACGTTTTTTTTTTTGGAGGCCGCGTCTGCTACGTTTTTCTGAAAACGTGCGTTGTATGCTCATAGGCTGTACAGGGCATGCGCGTGGTGGTGAATCCACAGATTGCACACATGAAAAGTTTTACATGCACTTAAAGTTCTAAGGCGTGTCTGCGTGCTCCAAAATCCTTAGGATTCCGTATGGAAGTGGTATTGTGGAGACTATTGTCAAGTTCCATTTTTTAAAAATAAAGCTGTCCTTGTATCCTTGCTCTCAATTTGATAATTGCAGTATGATTTATTTAGAAGCATCTATTTTTGTTTGGAAAGGGAGATGGAGTGAAGTATTCTACCGATTTGCTCCGAAGCAAATGTTAGCCTTTCTAGTTGCATATTATTGTTTTAATGATGTTACAAATTTATGTTTTGAGCGGAGGCTTTTTAGCACTAAGGACAGTACTTGTTCCAATTAGACAGTTCCCGATGCCACGCCCACCAACACCAAATCTCGCTCTCTTATTGGCTGAATGAAAATAATTTTGACTTACAACGTGGATGGGTCTATTAAAGTATGACAGGCGCTTGACAAATTAGAAAAAAAATTGAAATATGCTAAGTATACCATTCTGTATCTGTATCTGTATAGCCGGTATAACCGCCTTTCGGCGTAACACACCAGCCATTGTTCAAGAGAAAAGCAGTACTAGTGTTTTCAATTGGAGCACCCTAAAAGTCATACGCCTTCCTTGGCTTTATCAGGCTAGCAAATATGGGTCCTAAGTGGTCTTGGTGAAGTGAATTCGATGGTTACAACTCAAAAGTTACAACTCAAAGTCTAAACACATACATGGAAAGGGTCACATATAGACTCCTCTAGATCACATGGTACGAGTAGTCAATAGAGGTTTCCACTGATCTACGTATTAACTATCTGCGAACTGAAGGTGTGTGTCACGTCATCGGGTAAGGATTTTTGTTTGCTGACAGACTTTGGTATATTTTCTTATATACGCAATGAATTGGAAGGCTACTTTCTACGAGGCTTCACATAATCGGCTGAAATCTTTAACAGGGTTTAACCGGTTACTAAGTATGTTACGGTGTAAACGCAAAATGCTCCGAAATGGTTTTAACCGGTTCCGTCCAATCCACCTCAAGTCACGGGAGGGTTCAACAGGTATCGCTGTGCATTGAAAATCCCGGTGTGCAAGAACCCTAGCCTTCAAATGCTAATCTTTTTATCTCCAAACTTTTTGATCGCATCTTTATACCAGGCTTTCACATACCGTTGTTTTATACAACCTAAACACAACCTAATTTTTAGAGACGCCGAGAGCTTGTGTGTGAACCCGCCGCCATCTTACCGAAACTAAGATGGCGGCGGGTGCAGAGGTTTCACAAACTGTACACTTAACGGACATGGTCTTTAGCCTCCTGTTCAGGCCCCGCGGCGGATGGGAAAGAGTTTTAACGCGTTATTTTAAGCCCGGCCATCCTACAACCAGCCACCGGGAGAGGCGGAACGGAATCTTCCCGTAGGCAGAACGGAACCTTCTCCCGGTGGCTGAAAATGGGCGTGGCCCTTTAACTGATGGCGTCATGAGTACATGTATTTGCATAAATCATTACCATATATGGGAATAAGGTCAATGCTTAACTATACATGTACGTAGTATTTCAGATTTTTTTAAATTTTTGGAACACCCTAACGTCCTCAGCTATCCTCCCCATGCGCTCCCTTAATCAGACTTGCAAATATGAGGTCCTGAGAGGTCTTGGTGAAGGCACGAAGGAGTCTCTCGCGGTGGACGCTCATACGTATTAACTTAATCACCTTAGTTACATCGGGATCAAGTTCTTAAACAAGGGAACAGTCGCAGTACAGGACCATGATTGCGGGGTGCACAAAAGTTTTTGGGACTGCCAGTCTCTAGATCTCCCCGTATTCAACTATCGGTGAACTCAAGGTGGGTTTCACGCAGGTCATCAGGTACGGTAAGTAGGGAAAGTTTGCTGACTTTGCTACGCCTTCTTACATACCTAAACTCGGTACACTAAGTGGGCCATAAAGACGTGTCGAAGGCGAACAGGAAAGGAGCCATATTGGTTCTTATCGAGTGGCGTCAGCCGAGTAAAATCAAGCTATGAAATGTGTCCTTAGACTCCTTACGGTCCAGATATAACTCCGAAGAGTATTGTAGAGTTCTCCCTGGAAATAGGGCTGCATTAAGGGTTGTGGCAGAGTGGGCCTGTGCCATTCTTCAGATTTTTGCATAGTTACGTTCCTGTTGACCAGTTTTGCTTTCCCCAACGACACGCAACCCTGCACACGGGGACAACGTTAACGATCGTTGTCTTTGCTATGTGCCGCCAAGAAGGTTATGTTTTCCGTAGCATTCGCTTGTGTGTATGCGTGTGCGTGTCTCCGTGTGTGAAACCACGATAACTCGAGAGGGCTTTGAAGGATTGTCTTGTTGGTTTCAAAAAAATAAAGACCTCAAAATGGCTCAATGTCGGCTTGTACCTTCGCCAAGAAGGTTATGTTTTCGTAGGCGTTCGTGTATGTGTCTGTCTGTCTGTATACAATACAACTCAAGAGGACTTATAACGGATTGTCTTGATATTTAGTAGCTGGGTAGGTGTTAGTGAGGCATCAAAGATAGCTCTGCTGCCAGGGTGGCCACTGTATTGTGAATGTCGCAATTTTCGAAAATAAAAAAGATAGTTAGATTTTTGGCCCCCAGGCGGCTTGTTTTGGTACTGCGGCAGAACCGGTTTTGATATCTTATGATCTGGACATGTTATGGCCACGAATTTTGCATGGTAAATAGCTCTTTCGCTCAGGAAGAAGTGACGTGAGTTTGGGCCCCCTGCCATCTTGTTCTGGAACTGCAGGAGCATTTGGTGATACATTGTACTAGTACAAGTAAGTCAAGAACTGAAGGTGTTTTTCACGTCATCGGGTAAGGATGTTTTTCAACGTTTGCTGACAGACTTTGGCATATTTTCTTATATACGCGATAAATTAGAAGGCTACTTTCTACGAGGCTTCACATAATCGACTGAAATCTTTAACAGGGTTTAACCGGTTACTAAGTATGTTACGGTGTGAACGCAAAATGCTCCGAAATGATTTTTAACCGGTTCCGTCCAATCCACCTCAAGTCACGGGAGGGTTCAACAGGTATCGCTGTGCATTGAAAATCCCGGTTTGAATGGAACGGGCTAAATTTTTCTGGTCCGCTATTTTTTTCCCCAAACGTCGTATCTACGTGTGCAAGAACCCTAGCCTTCAAATGCTAATCTTTTTATCTCCAAACTTTTTGATCGCATCTTTATACCAGGCTTTCACATACCGTTGTTTTATACAACCTAAACACAACCTAATTTTTAGAGACGCCGAGAGCTTGTGTGTGCACCCGCCGCCATCTTACCGAAACTAAGATGGCGGCGGGTGCAGAGGTTTCACAAACTGTACACATAACGGACATGATCTTTAGCCTCCTGTGCAGGCCCCGCGGCGGATGGGAAAGAGTTTTTAACGCGTTTTTTTAAAATATAGCCGGCCATCCTACAACCAGCCACCGGGAGAAGGTTCCGTCCCATAGGCGGAACGGAATCTCCCGGTGACTGAAAATGGGCGTGGCCCTATAACCATATATGGGAATAAGGTCAATGCTTAACTATACATGTACGTAGTATTTCAGATTTTTTAACGTCCGATCCTCAGCTATCCTCCCCATGCGCTCCCTTAATCAGACTTTTGAATATGAGGTCCTGAGTGGTCTTGGTGAAGGCACGAAGGAGTCTCTCGCGGTGGACGCTATTACATATCAACTTAATCACCTTGGTTACATCAGGATCAAGTTCTTAAACAAGGGAACGGTCGCAGTACAGGACCATGATTGCGGGGTGCACAAATGGACTGCCAGTCTCTAGATCTCCCCCGTAACTATCGGTGAACTCAAGGTGGGTTTCACGCAGGTCATCAGGTAGGTAAAGTTTGCTATTAAACAGACTTTGCTACGTAAGTCTACCTAACGTTAAACCCGGTAGACTTAGTGAGCCATGAAGACGTGTCGAAGGAAAACAGGAAAGGAGCCATATTGGTTCTTATCGAGTGGCGTCAGCCGAGTAAAATCAAGCTATGGAATGTGTCCTTACGGTTCAGATATAACTCCGGAGAGTATTGTAGAGTTCTTCCTGGATAAACATGTAGGGCTGCATACATAAGAGTTATGGCAGAGTGGGCCTGTGGCGTATGAATGAAAGGCCATATTCTTCAGGTGTTTGTGCATACTTACGTACCTGTTGACCAGTTTTGCTTTCCCCAACGACACGCAACCCTGCACACGGGGACCGCTGTAGTGATGCCAAGGAGGTTATGTTTTCCGTATAGCGTTCGCATGTATGTAGTATATGTATGCGTGTGCGTGTCTGTGAAACCACGATAACTCAAGGGGGCTTTGAAGGATTGTCTTGTTGGTGGATAGGTTTCAAAAAAATAAAGACCTCAAAATGGCTCAATGTCGGCTTGTACATTCGACAAGAAGGTTATGTTATCGTACGCGTTCGTGTCTGTGTCTGTCTGCCTGTCTGTATGCATACAATACAACTCAAGAGGACGTAAATGGATTGTCTTGATATTTAGTAGGCGGATAGGTGTTAGCGAGGTCTCAAAATAGTTAGATTTTTGGCCCCCAGGGGCTTGTTTTGGTACTGCCGCAGAACTTCCGGTTTTGATATCTCATGATCTGGACATGTTATGGTCACGAATTTTGCATGGTAAATAGCTCTTTCGCCCAGGAAGAAGTGACGTGAGTTTGGGCCCCCTGCCATCTTGTTCTGGAACTGCAGGAGCATTTGTTGAAATATGTTCTGGGGGATACTAGTAAGTCGAGAACCAGTTGAGGAACTGTTGTGATTTTTGATATGTGGGTAGCTTAGGTGATGCTGAACATATTTAGATGAGAATTCTGCAAATGATTATCTAATTTGTATGATTAATGAGGAAATTCTATAAATCCGCTGCGCGCTCCAAGATAGGACCATAACCTCCTTGATAGGACTGATCAAATTTGTGACATACATGCATGATTGATATCTGCCAATGTTAATCTTGCTCTCAATTACAATTATGTCACATTCAACTTTGAATTGTCCTATCAAAGAATGCAGCAGATTTATAGAAGTTCCTCATCAATTATGTAAACTAGATATTGATTCACGTTAATAAGGCAATATTAATTACATGTTAAGCAGCATTTATCGAGTACGTACATACCAAAAAGTATTCGTCAACAGGTTACCCTTCTTCAAACATTTCAAAAGGGGCCTGTTGTGTTCTTGTACTTGAACTTGTCGAGATGACAACCGATTCCAGTATCTTTCTAGTGGTTTAATCCATAGGATTAGTAGGGGAGGACGTGTACATGATGTGCTCAGGGTCCGGTGGTCGGGCAAGAGAGACTCTGAGAACCAGAGTCTGGGGATGCCTTGATATGGCAAGGCCACTTAATATGTAAATGTTCTGTTGGACTAGCTCACACAGAGTAGGAGGGTGTGTGTGTGTGTGTCTGGCTAACTTACTGAACCACAACAGGGCCAACTTCACTTTTACCGAAGTAAAAGAGCTTAGTGACCAACCACGCGAAATTTGTAACCCCTGCAAAATTTGTGGATATTCTAGGATATCCAGCTGGCCAGATCATATAAAAAAACCGAACCACTTCAGTACCATAAGTTAACAAACATAATCATTTCGAGCTCTCATCAAGACTAGTCCTATTAAAATACCCACATTGAAAAAATTAATGGATATCAGACAATCCATCATCGTGAGACACAGACATGCGGACAGACACACGGTCCAACACATGAGTTCAAACCTCGGGTCGGAAGCCTGGAGCATTGATCATACAGAGGCGGCGGCAGGAAATTTTGATTGGGGGGAGGGGGGCGAGAGTTGTATGGCAACAATTTTCCCAATACTATAAGTATCGAGCGCCGAAGGCGCGAGCCGCCGCGCCTGCCTAGGGGGGTCCGGGGGCATGCTCCCCCCCTGGAAATTTTGAAAATTTAACCCTCTGAAACGCGTTTTCCTGCATTTTGGTTTGGTGGGGGAGGATTTTGCTGCAACACGAAGCTAAATTTTGAGTACTTTGTAGCTAAGTTTTTTCCCGCTATTCGAGTGCATGGCATCCACAAACTTCTTCCACGTGCTATTTTAATATCTCAATACACAAGGGGGATCGGGGCATGCTCCCCGGGAAAATTTTAAAATCTTGACCCTCTCGAAACGCCATTTCCTGTATTTTGGGAACGCATTTTGCTGGTACGTACACAATCCTAAGTTTAGTAAGTATTAATAATAAAGGAAGTAGCAAGTAAAGCCTTTATTTTTGCTCGAATGCTTGTTCGGTACAATATTCCGCTTTTCAACAAGGTCGTGGGTGAGTGCGGGGTCACGGATTTAATATCGCCAATCGACTACAATTACCTTGTATGGTCATCGGCGCCGAGAAATTCAAGCGGCTACACAAGAACAAAAATACTGTTGTGCCGCGAAAATGAACTGAATGTTGTCTTCAGAAGAGCTGGATTTCATTTTTATCGATATCGTTAGGAAGGGCGCTGAAAAACGAAGACGGCGCATGTAGAAGACGGCGTCCGTGTGATTTCAGATTTGAAATGGCCGCGCAGCGCGGAAAATGCGTTTTACGCCCCCCAATATATTTTTTTTGCGGGCAGTCGCCCCCCCTTGCCCCCCCCCCCCCGCCTGCCGCCGCCACTGTCATAGTCAGACCATGTCAAATGGTGGATTCCTATCCTCATCACCTTTTCATGATACTGTACATTTACGAGGGATGTATCTTCCATATCTGGAAGAAGATGCAGGTGTCTGTTGATGGTGTTTTCCAAATCCAACTGTCACTGCAAGGTGACAATGTAATACTCAACTTTCATACTTTTACCTATGTTGCAGATTCTGGAGGCACTACCCATTTAAAGTTTCTAAGAAACAAAGTCTAAGTCGTCAGTGAAATAATAATACAAAATGGCTGAAGCGAAACCAGAAAATGAGATTGAGGATGATCAATGTCCAGTTGGGAAAATCATTCACAAATGGGTCTGTGATAAGGAAAAAGAATGTTTGGACAAAGTAGGCGGCAATAAAGAACGTTTCCGTGAAGACGTAAAAAAAGCTTTGGATAAACTGTTCAATGCTCATAAAATCTTCAAATTGGAAGAAGGGATACAAAGTTTCAAGTATGAACGGACATTTATCCAGTTTGGATATATCTACAAACATGCGATGTTTTCGGCACGAAGTTTGTCAAAGGTCATGCATCGTTCCAATGTCTTGAATAAGCTGGAAGAGAAAAGCAGCATAACCATTGCGTGCTTGGGCGGAGGGCCTGGGTCTGATGTTCTGGGTGTACTGGACTACTTTCGTGACTTCGAGGGGCAACTGAACATACAACTGTATGACAGGAAGAACAAATGGGGCAAATGTTGGGTAAGTACATGACTTCTTTGTACGTGTATAATTGCAGAAAATAAGTTTCATTTGTATTGTATAGTATCAAATTGTGCTTAAAATGAAGTTAGCTTCATTACTCTCAAATGGTCATAAGGCCACAGCAAGTAAATTTTATGGATGACATCCGCGCGCGCATTAATTTTCGCCTGACTTTTGAAAAAAAAAACAAGAAATTTTGTTGCCTTCTGACAGTAGTCAACATGCCGAAAATGGGCAAAGATGTCTGTTGCCATGCCAGAAGGTGGATGGCAGATAACTAGGAAGAGAGGAGACAAGAAAAGGCTCTGATTTAATGTTTTGTTTCTTACTTTGATGCAGTGATATGTGATGCTGGCTGTGTATATGTTATGTTCCTACTGAATCAAAACCATTTGTACAATGATTGAGTCAAAATTTTACATTGTAGGAACCTTGTTTTTTTCGGCCTGCCTTTTTTTTTCGCCCACTCGCATTAGATTTGGAGTCTGCGGAGAATGTCATCCATAAAATTTACTTGCTGTGGCCTAATATTTGTACAGTAGATTTAGCTTGTAAAGCATGTCTGTGTAATGACTTTCTGTTCATCAGCAATTAATAATTCACAAATACTATACATTAGGTTTCTTGCAAATAGAGATGAAATTTGACTGGCAACAAATCAATAGTTGATGACATCTGTCACCACAGAAGAGTCTGCAGGCAGCTATAGACGAAGAACTGCATGACCCCAGGGTCACAGTGAGCTTTCACGACTTTGACGTAACTACGGCTGACAAGAACAAACCTGACATTCAAGATGCTGACGTCATCACTATGCATTACTTCATGGAGGAAGTGTACTCCGAGAGGGAAAAGGAAGAGGGTGAGCTCAGATATTAACCCCCCCCCCATGAAATAATGTTTTATAGCCACTTTATTTCATGGTCACTTATGACCACTTTATGTAACTTGTAGTATAACCATGTTAATGAATTTGATACAGGATTCCGACATCTCTGACACTGACAGTACTAGTGTAATATATACAGTAGTCTGACAGTACTACAATAAAATGTTTGCAAAGTGAGCAAAATGAATCTACCCTACGTTTCGTAGGAGTCATAAAAAGTGGTCTCCGAGTCTCACTTTTACTACGGAAGTTTTTAGTATAAGAAATTGCATGACTTTTGTCAAAAAGACTCATTGAAAGTAGATTTGAGTAAGTGGTTGTGATAATCTTCATTCTTCAAGTGCCCCTATTATCAATCACTAGCCACATACTAGTGTATGAGTGCCAGAGGTGTGTCCTCTGGATCATACAAGTCTGATAATTGCCTGCAATGCTCAGATTACTAGTATCTACTACAGTAGCAAATGCCATCATAAAGTAAATTGTCATTTCCTCTTTTCACGACATTGTCTTGCAGTGAAGGAGTGTTTTGACCACATAATCCAGACAGCCAAACCAGGTGCCTTGTTCCTGTACTCGGGGATGTACATGTACCAGGCTACAGACTGGGTACATCGGCTCCTGAAGGACAACTGTAAGGTTCTGGAACCGAACATGGATCTACATATAGATTTGCCAAGGATTTGCCAAGATTACATTACCGTTGAATCGATATGGATTTACCGTATTCAGGTGCAGTGGCATTTTGCTTTAGGCCACACCATTTTAATTTGTTGTTTCTCAGATTTTTTTCAGAAAAAATGAGGAGCGACAGGGATAAAAAACAGGCCAGGGCACCCCATGATAGCCAGAAATGTTACAATATGAGCCATGAAGTGAGCATACCAGGCTGGTTTATAATTAAAATAATAGATTTTGAACTTTTAATGAAAAAAAATTGCATTGTTACATTGAAAAACTTAAGAACTAGAAAGAAAAAGACTTTTTCCAATTATTGATGGGGCCAAAATATGTCTTTCATTGAGCATTTTGCAGTTAATTTAGACCCCCCCCCCCAATTTTTTTTTTTT